CATTCAGTGTATGTTTACATTCATATTCACATAGGCTTGAACGTTGATTTGGGATAAAAAATACACTGACGGCTGTGTAACAGGAGGAGCGAGTGAAAACACTTTTACACTATTTACTGCGTGTACTGGCGAGATTCGGTAAATTAATGGTTGAGAAAAGAGTCCCAGAGGTTTTGAACTCTTTTCTAGAGCAGTATTAATTTTTTCGACTGATTGTTATTTTTATTAAATACTTAAGTTATTAATTTACCCGAAAACTAAACGAAAACCAAACAAGAAGCTAAGTGAGCATAGCTAACGATGACGACCAAACAGGAAACTAAGTGAGCATAGCTAACGATGACGACATAATTGACGCGTCATTAAACTAGTTAAAAAAACTCGAGTTCGTCAAAGCCAATCAGATCTCTGTTAGTTGGCCGAGAGGCGGGACACACGACTGAGATCCAATCACATCGACGTTTATCCGGACGTAGGCTAAACCCGGATGCTAGGTTGAAGCCAGTAGCGGGAACACTCCGACGGAAATGTTTGGATTTAATTTAAATTCGTAAATAGTTTTTGAACAGTTCGTGGAAAATTACTGTACACCGCGTGGAACGACCGTGAAAATCATTTGAAGAGTTGTCGTCGTGAAACTCAACGCTAAGGTAAAGAATGAAGCTTTAATATATGAGCTAATCTGGATGAAATGCTAACATGACTTCCGGCCTCTTTCAATGTTCGACGTTAGTTCATATAGTAACAATATTGGTATTAATTAATATTTATACCTGTTCAATAAAACACAGTTCCTTATTTGAATGACGGTTACATTTTTGTTGACTAAAACTTAACCTAAAATAATCAGTTTTGACTAAGTTAGTAGCAAGAAACAGTTCCAAAACAACATTACTCTATTTCTTGGACATAAACGCACTTTAATGAAAATCTAACTTGGTTTTCTATGTCAAAGAAGAAGAAGAAGAATTTTTAAAAAAGATATAGAATATTTTTAATGGTGGCTGACAAATTCCAACATCTACACTGGTCTGGACCAGTTTTGTTTTTTTTAACTTTTCTAAGACTAGGTTACAATTTGATTTAAAAAGAATAAACGTACATTTAAACTGGCTGTCAAAATTAACACTGCTCCAGAACAGGTTCATGCTGTGTGACAGGTGAAGCAGTAAGAGGTCGTACGCAAATGTTACTGTGTGTGTGTGTATATGACTGAGGTGTGTGTGTGTGTGTTTACATCTATCACCCTGGTTAGGTCCTTATTATTCCTCATCAGGTTGTCGTCACCCGAGCCTGTTGTGGGGGTGACAGACGCTGAGTGACCTCTGTGTCGTCAGTGGTGACCTTTGTCTGACCCTCATCTCATGCTTCGTCATCCTTCTGTGTTCATTCTGTTTTTGTGGCCCGTGTTAAAAGGTCACACAGTGTCTCAGGATTTCCACATGACATCACCCCCCCTCACACAGCACTCTTCCTCTC